CGTAGAATCACAGCAACTGGACTTCTTCCTTGTTGGGTTGAAACATTTCGCTACTCATCCAAGTAGATTCTGAAGGCTGAAGAAGCTCCTTGGATGAGTAGAGAAACATTCCTACCTAACAAGAAAGATGTCCAGTGGCCATGACTCAACTTCCAGATAGTCACACCTGAAGGATGGAAAATCTTCAGAGATAATTTGCTCTTGAAGGCCTCCAGCGTCGGAGCACTCCCCACCTCTTGAGGTCATGGGTTCCACTGTCGTACTGCTCTAACAGTTAGGAAGTTTTTTCTGAGATTCAACTGAAATCTGGCTTCCTGTAACTTGAGCCCATTGTTGTGTGTCTTGTACTCTGGGATGACTGAGAACAGATCCTGCCCCTCCTCTGTATGAAAGCGTTTCAAGTTTTTGAAAAGTGCTCTCCTCTCTCCCCTCCATCTTCTTTTCTCAAGGCTAAACATGCCCAGTTCTTTCAGCCTTTCCTCACAGGATTTGGTTAAAGTCTCCTTACAGTGATGCCTCACATAGCGAGCACCCCGTTTAACGATGAATCCGCATAGCGATATGGATTTAGCGATCGCAAAAGTTATTGCATTGCAACGTTTTGAATGGGCGAAAATCGCATTGCGATGATCGTTAAGCGTTTCGCTTACCCTGAAGAAGCTCCTTGGATGAGTAGAGAAACATTCCTACCTAACAAGAAAGACCTACCTAACAAGGCCATGACTCAACTTCCAGATAGTCACACCTGAAGGATGGAGAATCTTCAGAGATAATTTTCCCTTGAAGGCCTCCAGCGTTGGAGCACTCACCACCTCCTGAAGTCACAGGTTCCACTGTTGTACTGCTCTAAGAGTTAGGAAGTTTTCCCTGAGATTCAACTGAAATCTGGCTTCCTGTAACTTGAGCCCATTGTTGTGTGTCTTGTACTCTGGGCTGACTGAGAACAGATCCTGCCCCTCCTCTGTAGGAAAGCGTTTCGAGTTTTTGAAAAGTGCTCTCCTCTCTCCCCTCCATCTTCTTTTCTCAAGGCTAAACATGCCCAGTTCTTTCGGCTTTTCATCACAGGATTTGGTTAAAGTCTCCTTATTATCTTTTTGCTGCACTGAACTGTTGATCCCACCCACCCCCCTAAATTCTTTCTGTGTATTAAAGTCTGTAATACCAAACGCCTGTTATATTTCTTGAGCATCTCAAACAAAGAAATCCCCAAACCAGCTACTCTTCCCTTTACTGGGCAGAAATAATGTTATGATGCTCTAGCAAGAAACCAAATAATAAAGTTTCCTGCCCTTGCATTAAACCTAGGACTCGGTGGCTAAAGAACAGCCTCCGTCTGCCTTATTGTAGGACTCACCCCCAGAGTGCAATGGATTTATTTATTTAATTATTTAATTTTATTAGAGTTATACCCCGCCCATGTAGACCAAAGGTCTACTCTGGGTGGCAAGGAATGGATGCAGAAAGAAACCAAATAATAAAGTTTCCTGCCCTTGCATTAAACCTAGGACTCGGTGGCTAAAGAACAGCCTCCGTCTGCCTTATTGTAGGACTCACCCCCAGAGTGCAATGGATTTATTTATTTAATTATTTAATTTTATTAGAGTTGTACCCCGCCCATGTAGACCAAAGGTCTACTCTGTGTGGCAAGGAATGGATGCAGGCATTTTCTACAAATTTAAGGACGTTTGCTCCCATAAGGAAGAGAAAAAGAGGCCCCATAATTCCCCTGTTGACCTGCCTGTATTAATTGTATTGCATGGATAAGATGTGCCGTCTGCTCTTTGATGGGAGTCCTCAACCCACTGGTACTGTTAATAAAACACAGTGCTTCAATTCAGAAGCTTAATGATTAAAAAAAAGAAGGAAGAGAGATAGACAAGTAGATAGACAAGGGTGGAAAGTGATGCTTAACACAAGAAGAGAAAACGGAGAAGTGTTGCATCTCAAAACACATATTAAAAGAGAATGGTAGAAATCTGAAGCACCAAACCATGGTTCCCCTCTCCCCACTCCCACAAAGAGGCACTTCCTTAATGTCACTCCGTACTGTAAATAACTTCCTAGAGCCGAGATCTGACTTGAAGTGTGACAGTGACTGTGGCTGTTACTTTGACCACCTGCCTAGAGACGGTTGCAGACCATGTGGCCCCCTTCCATGGCAGTGGCATTTCCTGATGAATGTGGCATCTCTCAGCAGGAGAATGCACCCTGTCACTCAGCAAAACTTGCTCAGGTATGGTTTGAGGAACATGGCAATGAGAGTCCTCTCTTCCTATCTTGGTCACCATCCCAGTTCCTCGGAGGGCACAAAGAGGAAGAATAAGGCTGCAGAGGCATCTCCAAAGCTAGCCAGCTTCCCCTGTCCAGATGAGGTAGTAGCCACTGCCTATTCTCTTTAGCCTTTTGTTTCTGATCATGGGGCGTTCTTGGCAAAGATACTGGAGTGGCTTGCCATTTCCTACTCCAGGCAATGAGAGTCCTCTCCTCCTATCTTGGTCGCCATCCCAGTTCCTTGGAGGGCATAAAGAGGAAGAATAAGCTTTCCTTGAGGCTGCAGAGCCATCTCCAAAGCTAGCCAGCTTCCCCTGTCCAGGTGAGGTGGTAGCCACTGCCTATTCTCTTTAAGTTCCCCAGGGCAGGTAATTAATACCTGGGTTCGTAGCAGCCACAAGGTCCAGCCTGAGCCGACTAAACGACTAAACACACACATTCTCTTTAAGTTCCCTAGGGCAGGTAATTATTACCTAGGTTCGTAGCAGCCACAAGGTCCATCCTGAGTGATCAAGAACATCTGGAAGGCAAGCTTCTGGTTATTAGCAAGATCGGCCTTGGGCTGGGCTTGCCTCCCCCTAATCTGCTGACTTCCAGGTGTATTAAGGCTGCAGCTTCTCTTCATCCTGGTCAGAAGGACCAAGGCTGGAAGGTTGTCCTTCAATGTATCCGGAGGGTGCTGGGTTGAGGAAAGCTGTTATAGGCTCCATTCCCCTCCCCCTCCCCAGGGAATCTGTTCAGGAAACCTGAGAAAACCAGGTGCCTATCTATGGCTTCCACCTATGTGGGTGAGGACACGGTGGCGTCTATTCCTGGCCGGAGCAAACATTTCACAAGCCAGGGCGTGCTGCCCAGGCCCTAGCAGGCAGAAAATGTGCCAAGCTCAGCCCCGGGCATCTTCAGGTGAGGCTGAGAAGGGGCCTCCAGGCAGATGGGGACACCACGGTTTGGCTCAGGAGAAGGCCACTTCTTTTGGCCCCAATGCCTGGCAGGACGTCCGTCAAGTGCATGGAAGGTTCCCTCACACGGTTCGTAGCAATGGATGATGCCTCTGCTCTGGCGCCACCCACAATACAGGGGCTCCCAAACTTGGGTGACCCCAGGTGTTCTTGGACTGGAACTCCCAGAAGCCTTCCCCACCTGTTGTGCTAGCCAGTGGGTTTCTGGGAGTTGCAGTCCAAGAACATCTGGGCTACCCAAGGTTGGGAACCGCTGCCTTCATAGATAGGCCTTCACTCTACACCCCTTCTCCAGAAGATGGTGTCTGCATCTACACAGCCAGGCCAGCAACCATTAAAGCCACGTGTTCCCTTGAAATCTCCGATATTTCTGGGGCCAACACTCAGATCCTGTAGTTGGGGAAACCTCAGTCTAGGACCTCCTCTGCCTTATGCACAAGCGCGCCAAGGGAGTCAAGAGGCTCCTCTGCAGCCCTCCGTCCTGAAAGGGGACATGAAGGAATTCCCAACAACAGGACAACGGTGGAGGCAGCGTGCTCCCTTTGCAGGGCTCTTTCGACAGATGTTGGCCTGTGTTTTCTCAGAGGCGAGCCTGTTCTCTGTCTCTCCTCCCTATTTGAGCTCCATGTATCTCTAGCCCACGGGTCTTCCTGCTGAAAGTGAGTTGTTAAGGCTGTAAGGATCATTTGCCATTTTTCTTCTTCTCAAAGAAAAAGCATCTCCCAAATCATCCACTGCTGTGAGGTTTTTTGGGAATCTGGGATCATCATCATCATCTAGTCGTTTAGTCGTGTCTGACTCTTTGTGACCCCATGGACCAGAGCACGCCAGGCCCTCCTGTCTTCCACTGCCTCCCGGAACTTGGGTCAAATTCATGTTGGTAGCTTCGATGACCCTGTCCAGCCATCTCGTCCTCTGTCATCCCCTTCTCCTCTTGCCGTCACACTTTCCCAACATTAAGATCTTTTCCAGGGAGTCTTCTCTTCTCATGAGATGGCCAAAGTATTGGAGCCTCAGCTTCAGGATCTGTCCTTCCAGTGAGCACTCAGGGTTGATTTCCTTTAGAATTGATAGGTTTGTTCTCCTTGCAGTCCAGGGGCCTCTCAAGAGCCTCCTCCAACACCACAATTCAAAGGCATCAATTCTTCGGCGGTCAGCTTTCTTTATGGTCCAGCTCCCACTTCCGTACATCACTATAGGAAAAACCATAGCTTTGACGATGCGGACCTTTTTCGGCAAAGTGATATCTCTGCTTTTTAAGAAGCTGTCAAGGTTTGTCATGCCTTTCCCAAGAAGCAGGCGTCTTTTAATTTCGTGGCTGCTGTCACCATCTGCAGTGATCATGGAGCCCAAGAAAGTAAAATCTGTCACTGCCTCCATGACCCCTAGAGTGGAGCCCAAGAAAGCAACATTTCTACTTTGTCTTACAATGAACCCAGCCTCCTGCTTCCTCTGAAGATTTCCAGTTTATCCTTACTGGGTTTACTGGACGGGAGATGGCATGCTCCCCTCCAGCCCCCTTTCGGTTTGCCTGGCCTGCAACAGAAGGCCACCAGACCCCCCAGGCAGCGGTTTTTTTCTCCCCCTGTGTTGTCTTTCTGGAAGTAGGGGAGACCCAAAAAGAGGAAGGCCACCCTGCAGTCATGACTGTAGCGCCATTGCAGAACTTCCTCCCTGTTGCAACGGTAAAGATTGCAGTAAAACCACTGGGCACGGAGCAACAGCTGGGGATGGAAACCCACAGAATAAAACTCCCACGCAAGCACTGGGTGGGTGGCTGGTGGAAACACACCACATTTTTATTCAGCGAGCCAAAGGAGAACGGCTTACTTTTTTCTGCCCAGGTAACACAGCGTTTCTATCAACCGCACCATCTAGGAAAGCCTTCAGCCCCGCTTCCCGCCACCTCCCAGGTGTGTTGGACTACAATTCCCATCATGCACAACCAGTGTCCTGGCCAGGGAGGGTCAGGTCGTAGTCCTACACAGCTCGAAGACTGCTGGGCTAGGGAACGCCACCTTAAGCAAAGGCCGGCACGGGCCACTTATAAGAGAAGAGAAGGTCTAAAAAAGGCTAGGAAGGGAAATGTCCAATATCGCCCTTTGGGAAGGCCCACCGCTTCGGCTTAAAAATCCAGAGATAAAACAAAGCCCATCTGCAAAACATTAAGACAAAATACAATAAAAACGAAAGGTCCAGTGACTTTTCCTCCCCAGACAATGACGACTGAGGGATGCTCATCCAATAAGCACCCCTTGGCAGCGTCCATCTGGCAGGCGTGGTCCATCTCAGGCCGCTAGCCAGGTCACTCCTTCCCTCGAGGCCTCTGGAGGACCGCGCTGTACTTCAAGGGGATGTTGTCTGACCGCAGGACGACCTCCACCAAGGTGAAAATGGTAATGACCTTGAGAAGCAAGAGAGGGGGAAGAGCAGAAGTTGGGTGATCAGCAAGGAGATGACAGACAGCCCTACCTTGCAGGACAGGCAAGAGAGGAACATTATTTTTCGCAGCGATATCAGAATGGGACGTATTCTGTATTATAAAAAGGGGCCCCAAGGATCATCTGTTCCAATCTCTTGTCAACGCACTAAGCCGAACCACGGCGCCGCTACGGTGCTTCAAAGAGCGCCACTGTGACCAGAGGCGGGCTGTCGTCACGTATTGGATTCTGGGGACAAACGGGGAAATGGCTTTTTTCAAAACAAAAACTTATCCTCCGTGTGATTCATGGTGGAAAGAGACTGGACTGGGGGGGGGCAATCCCCGTGTAGACGGCCCTGCGTGATCCCCAGATGGAAGCTGGAATACGCCTAGATATAGAGCAGTCGGCAACCCGTTGCGCTCAGAGACCAAGGCGGACCCCAAAGGCCCAGGACTTTTGGGTGGGTCATCAGGCCTTTGATGCCAACATTTATTTGGCCAACACTTGCCACCAAGGCCGTGGCCAAGGAGCACGCAAAGCCAAGGGGCAGCTGCACCAAAGGTGCAGAGGGAAAGCCAGCTGCGTTGGGTTTTCATCCCCCAACGGGAAAGGGCACCTCAACAAACGAGGCACACTTTGGACACAGCTGTCAACCTCTGCGGGATCTCCCACCCCTTCGCTCAAAGGAAGAAACCGGGGCTTTTTCTTCAAGGATCACAGCCGTAGCAAAATAAATAAATAAATTGCGTTTTGCAGAAGGAACTCTTGCCTTTTGTGCAAAAACACTGGTCTTGCGCAAGGCTTCCTCCCGGTTGGCTTACGCCGTCGTTGCAGGAGGGGAGATTGCGTCCCGCAACATCTGGAACGCCACCCGTTGCTCGTTGATCACAGCCTTTCTTACGACAGACAGGCTGCCTGCTTGCAGGTTAGGGCATCTGTGTTACAATAGCCAGCCTGCTTTGGTAGCCTGTGGTTCTTACACGGGGAAAGGAGGGAGGGAGAGAGGGGGAAGACCTCATCAGTGGAACAGCTTTAAGAGGAGCCCCTGCTAGCTGGATCAGACCCAAAGCCAGCCTTGGCCTGCACTAAGTTTGCCCCCGGAATAATGGGATGCCTTTGGAAAGCTCCTAAGCAGGTTATGAAGGGAACCCACCCCCTCCTGGGGTCTTCTCCAGTTGGAACTGAGTACACTGCCTCTGCTCCATAGCCCCTTATAGCCTCGATTAATTACAATGCTGTGCTATCGATTCCAATGAATGGAGAGCCTTCCCAAGGTTTCCTAGGTATACGGCCCTCAGAAGCAGTTCATCAGTCTCTCCTTCGGGGGGAGGGGCAGTGGCGGCGGCTCTGGGATCCCCGTGCAACTTGCCCAAGGCCACACAGGCTGGCTTTTCTTCTAGACTTCCGGCAGCCCCCGCGATCCTCTGGGTTGCGCTGCAGCGATGTTTTCCGTCTCTTTCCACGGTGTGATGATCAGAACAG